AAAATCAGGATCTTGAAAAATCATTTTTAATTTGTAAGGAAAGTGCAAATAATGGCTATATTTTAGGACAACTTTTCCTTGGAATGTTTTATCAATATGGAATTTATATAGAACAAGATTGCAATAAAGCATTTTACTGTTTTTTGGAATCTTCTAAAAAGGGGTTAGCTCCTGCACTGGATATCCTTGCTAATTGCTATCAAAATGGGATTGGTACCGAAAAGGACCATAATAAAGCATTTCTTTTATACAAAAAATCAGCGGAAGATGGATTTTTACCAGCATATAGTCACCTCGGAGATTGTTACTACCGTGGAATTGGCACCGATATAAATCATAATATGGCACTTCATTGGTATGAAAATGCTGCGAATCGAGGAGATTGTAACGCACAAATTCGACTTGGGCGTCATTACTGTGATACGAATGATTTTGACAAATCTTTTTATTATTACAAAATGTCTGCAGACCAAGGATCGGAAAAGGCCCAATTTTACCTTGCTTGCTATTATCTATATGGTTATGGCACTGAAAAAAATGGTAGCATGGCATTTTTCTGGTTTACGCAACTAGCAGAACAAGGCTTTGCTCCAGCACAAGATATGCTTGGAGAGTGCTATGCATTTGGAATAGGTACTGAAAAGAATTTTCATAGAGCATTTCATTGGTATAAAAAATCAGCAAAAAAAAATTTTTCTTTCGGACAATTTGATCTTGGTGTATGCTACCAATATGAAATAGGTACTATAAAAGACTACAAAAAAGCATTTTATTGGTACATGGAGTCAGCAAAAAATAATCTAGGCGAAGGACAGTACATGGTTGGGTACTGTTATTATAATGGAATTGGTGTAGAAAGTAATCTTTACGAAGCATTTCTTTGGTATAAAAAATCTGCTGAACGAGGAAATCACAAAGGACAATATGCATTAGCAGAATTCTATTTTTATGGAATTGGAACGCAAAAAAGTCTTGAAGCTGCAAAAGAATGGTATCAAAAATCTGCAAGTGGTGGAAATGAAGCAGCCTCTCAAATTGTCTTAAAGCTTGAATCAGCAACACAATCCTTGGATTTACAACCAGAAAATAAAATGGCTTTTGATATTCAGATTCCTTATAATAAAAATGAAATTTCCTCGAAAGTCACGGATAAGTATTTAACTAAATCCGATAATACGACTTTATCAAATAGTAATTTTCTTATTGAATATAACGATAAGATTCGTAATCTAGAATATAGTGTGGATAATCATAACATAAAATCTAGTGATAATGTTTATAGTAAAGAATTTAGTGATAATACTTGTAGTATAGATTTTGTAGAACCTAAGGTTGTTCATAGCGAAGAACCTAATAATGATATTGATTGTTTGAAGCCTAGTGATGATATTTCTTGCACAGAATTTAGTAAGAATGTTAATAACACAAAATCTGATGAAAATATTAACAATATTGTAGATTCTAATGAACATATTAATCATATTGAATCGAGTGAAGAAAATACGGCTACAGGTTTACGATTAGATCAATTTGATTTAATGTCATTGTTGTTAAATATTTTTTAGTTTTAATTGATGGAATCTTAAAATTATTTGTAAAAATGACCTTATTAATGTATTATTTTTTTTTATCTATGTTAATAAATTTACTAACATTTATTTTTATTATTGACAATATGAAGTATTAAATAGTACTTTATACTGGGCGGATAAAAAGTCCCCGAATATGTTCTTTTTTTATCTTTGCTAAAATTAAAAATTTTTGATAAATGTCCCTTCGGTTTATACCCTCTTGATTTATGCCAGGATGTATTTGCTATGATGTTTTTCTAATGAATTAATATATATTCTTAGTATAAATCAAGGTTTGTTGTTACGTGGAATGCAAAATATCCAATACCTAGCATGGTAATTTTCATTGATTGTAAATAATTTGGAACTTTTAAATTTATAAATTATCAATTTCAAAGGTAAATTGCAAGCTAAATGTGAAAGATTCTTAGTGCATTAATCACTTTGAGATTCACTATTATCACTTTAAATAACAATAATATTAATATTAGTAAAAAGATTTTTGAAGCAATAAAATATTGCAAATTACACTGACTTAATAATCGGTAGTATTAGATGGGAGTTTAAGAGTTGAACTTGTGAACAATTGAGTAGATACTATTGATAATAAATAAAATGAATAACTTAATGGTTAATGATATAGTATTAATCGTAATATAAATAACTTCAATTCAATTAGTACCTTTAAGAGTCTTTATTATTTCTTGTACATTGATTGATGTGCTAAAATATTTGTTTGGCTCTGATAAAGATTCTAATATTGTTTTTTACCAGGAACGGGGTACAAAGTAACCTGTAGTAGTCATAGAGCTTAAATACAATATTAGGCCCTTGCATTGCTATCGCAGCCGCGGAGCTTAACCACAACGTGAGGTCCGTGCACTGCTATCATAGTTGCGGATCTTAATCACCAAACATGAGGCCCTAGCACTGCCTGCGGCAGCCATATAGCCTAATTACAACATGGGTTCTATAGCAGCCACAGAGTCTAATCGCAATTTAAGGTCCTTGTACTGTTATTGTAGTTGTAGACAGTGTGTAAAATTCAATTTTGATTTTATGTTCTCACTGAGAACATTTTACTAGTCCTTAACGTTCTCAAAAATTTT